TGAGATTCTGTCTGGAGGTGGAAGCTAATAAACACAACAGAACTGTATTTGCATTGTCTCGTGGAGTTCTTTGGGCTGAACCTGACATAGGGACAGCTTCCATATGGGGGCCCCCTTTACCAGCTTCCATATGGGGGGGCCCTGCTTGGCTCTGGTTACAAAGAAGCGCTGCTCCTCCTTTCTTACTGATACTTGGCTGCGTCTTAGAAGGATACATACCTGAAAGAGACTTCAACCCATTTTAGTACATAATAATTACTCCTTAATACCAGAACCAACCTCAGATGCCCTAAATGGAAATGCATATCTACCCATCCCTCCTTCACTCTCCTTCCCCCAATCCATGCAAGTCTCCCTTTTTGAAGGCCAACTCAGTGGATTAGTGTGGAAGCAACAGGATAGTAGCAATCCTCTGTCCCAGGCAAAAAGGGCCAGCTAATCCACAGCGGGGAAAGGGGATGTTTAAGGAAAACAGCAAAAGGGCTTTGCCAATTAAGGGCTACATTTGGCTTTGCAAGCTCAGCATTATGGCCCAACAGCCTAGAATTAGGGCCCACTAGCTCTGTAGAATGTCAGAGACCCAGCCAAGCAGATTAGAATATGTTGCTTTTTCTCCTGTAGGGAGAAAGCCTTTTTTTTTTTAAAAAAAAAGCATGTTTTGGATTAAATGCTGGGAGAGAGAATAGCACAACAGCAACATGGCACTTGTGGATACATGACCGCTTAGTGCTGGAAGAATACTGAATCTTTTGGTCCTTTCAGACTTTCCTCTTCTGATTTAAGAAAAAATTCTGACAATGAAAGTGCAAACTTGTTGAAGTTTTGATACTGTGCAGAATTATAGAAATGGAAAGGGCAATCATTCCAGCGGTACTGGAGCTGAAGATTTCAATTTGGCAGGAGCCCTTGTTAGAAGATTTGCTCCTGAACATAAGCAGAGTGCTTGAAGAATACTAAGTAATTAAGTATCACCAAGTAAGTCACAGAACACCCTATTAAAAAGTTATAGTCATATAACTAAACTATAGTTATAGGTTTATTGGATGCAGCTATGGGCTTAGCCCCGCTATTAGTGAATGCTATCAGATATTTCTTAGACTTGAAGTAAAAGATTTATTAAGAAATATATGAGGATTAAAAAAAACTCATTTCTTTCTAAACTATATTTTGAAAAGATGGGGGAGAGGGGGAGAAAAAGATAATTCCCTTTGTTTTTTAAGCACAGAAATTCATTTAATCAACAATAGGCCAGGTGAAACACAGATACTGCTGTGAAGACCTTTCCCCTTCTCTCTCATTTTATCCTACTGGTCAACTGCTCATAGCAGTTTCTAGTGACTGGAGTTCTCTAATGTCAGCTCCTCCAAACTGTCTGGTCGGCACCTTTTCCTACTGTCAAATAAGAAGACAACAGATGTTTTCAAAATACTGGAAAGGGGGTTCTGAACTATGTCCTCTAGGACTTTCTCCCAGGAGCCATGGAGTGACTTAAAAGAATCTGCATATAATCTTTTGAATGTGGTGATTTTTAAGGATCTTGAAGTTTTCTCATAAAATGGATATGATAGATATGAACTTGCCTTGGCTTAAAAGCCAGGTTGTGTCCAGGTTGTGTCCTCAAGAGCCAGGTTGAGGGCACATGATCTTGGCAGACTGTTCTTTGGAGTATTGAGAAGGAGCATCTGAAAGTCCATCCACCTACCACAGCCTCTGGCTTGTGTTGAGCTTATGGATTCACAAAAGCGTGCTAAGGGTCCTATCCATAAAAGTGTCTTCATCAACTTGGAAGGAGGGGCATGTATGAATGTGTGGAGTCTGCAAGCAAGGAGCAACACATTTGCTTATTTCAGTAATTATTTTACAGGTCTTGGCCACCGACATGTCCAAACACATGAGTCTCTTGGCTGATCTGAAAACAATGGTGGAGACCAAAAAAGTGACCAGCTCAGGGGTGCTTTTGCTGGATAATTACACTGACAGAATACAGGTGAGTGAGGTCTATCCACCTTGAATTAAGAGGAAGGAAAAAAATTGTCAGAGCCATGGGCAAGATGGACAGCTGGGAGCTCAGCTGTTCCCAGATAAGCTAAGTAAGGATGGTGTGGAGCTGGCACTGAGCTAAGGAGCTGCCTAGGCAGTCTCTAAGGAGTTCAATTTCTTCTAAAGAAGTGTAGTTTAGATTGAGGACCCAATCCATCACTAAGGTTTTATAGCGTCAAGGAAAATTACTTTTTTTTAATTGCGTACTTCTTTTAAAATGCTTCTGTTCTACCTGACAACATGCCTCTAGGCATCACAAAGATTCACCAGTAGTTTCAGGGGGAAGAAGGGCCGCTTCCCCACTACACACAAACAGGCATATATATGCACACACAAAGGTATCTTTAAATCTGGAAAACCTTCTCTTGGGTAACCAAAGAGCTTGCAGCTCCTTGGAGAGGATAATGTAGTTAACCATTCAGTTCCAGAAACTTAAAAATCTCATTGTAACCTCCTGGCCAGTTACATTTACACTGGTCCACCAAATATTGCATCATTTTCCTAGCTGTTGAGATGAAATAGAAAATGAATCATGATAACCAGTTGCTTTACAGTTCAATTTTCTTGGTGGTTTGCACATGCCATTCCTTTCCTAGATTTTTCATTTGCCAGTCTCCTATTGGGTTCTGTGACCAGAGAAACGTTCCGTTGAGGCCTTTTATTCTTATTCACACACATCCTACAGCTTTCAGTTTTTAGGGCCTTGATACTCTGCTGATGGGGTACAGGCAGAGGTGTTGCACTTTGAAGCCTCTGACTGGCCCTGCATTTTTCCAATTTTACCAGGTCCTACGGAACATGGTTCACTGTGCAGACTTGAGCAACCCCACAAAGCCTTTGGAATTGTATCGGCAGTGGACAGACCGGATCATGGAGGAGTTCTTCAGGCAGGGTGACAAAGAACGGGAGCGAGGCATGGAGATCAGCCCTATGTGTGACAAGCACACAGCCTCTGTAGAGAAGTCACAGGTATGTATGGTAGCCGTGCAGGATCATGGATCAATATGGGAGAAAGAAGGATCCTATTCCTCCTACTTCTTCCCTTCTGCCAGCATCCAGAGCAGGGATAGCCTTGTCTGGGGTGGGTACTTGTTGCTATAGAAACCTAGCTCCATTATGAAGCAGCTCCATCCCAAAGTTGCAGTAAAGGAACATGAGAGTTTTATTATACAAGAAATTTGCAATTAAGAATTGGAGACTATACTATTGTATGTCCCTTGCCCCCCCTCCACCAAAAAATGATACCTAAAGAAAGAATCTGAGCTGACCATTGCACCAGTAGTGGCTGATGTTCGTGCTCTCTACCCTGACAGCATCTCAGATGGCCCTTCTGATTGAGCCCTTTTTAATCAGGAGGATTCATCCTAGACCATGTGTGTAATCAGCAAGCTGAGCTCCCACTCCTTGGCTCCTTGAGTTAAATCAGCCTTTGTTTACCAGGAATACATGTTTTTCCCCCTCCCTCTTATTATTTAGGCTGTTAGAGTTACACATTGTGCAGTGTGACTGTGCAAAAGTTAGAAGTGAGTAACTCCAACATTACACTTAAAAATGGTCTACACCATTTTAAAATATTTTAAAAGGTCCCGGCTGTTCAGAAGTCCTTTCTGGTGTGAATGTGGATTGCAGCCTTTTAAAATGCATGTGATCATGTTTTGGAGAGAGGGAGAATTTGCCCCAGATAGCAGGATCACCTTCTCCCTTACAACACTGCTTCTTCTATTTCCTGCTGCTCTTGAAATTTAAAAACAGTTCTTATGTAGTTCTGGAGAGCAAATTATCTTTGTATGTATGAGGTGGTGGTTGTTTAATATATTAGTGCTAATTTAGTATTTAAAGATATATTTGTGCACATAAGGGCAAAGGTGCAGAATTTGCTCTAAAGCCATAGATGACATACTCAAATAAACTTAGATTTCTCTCCCTACCCCCAAGTTGTCAAGGCAAGTTGCCAGATTGGAAAATATGTATATTTTCGGATTACAAGATTGAAGATGTGGAATCAACCCTAACTCTTTCAATGGCAAGTTTCAAACCAAATGGAAGATGCTCCATTTGGGATGTTTGCTTGGGATCCCCAAGAGTACTAAACTTGGAAGTATCAATGCAGACAATGAATTCCCCTTTGTACTTGCAGCCATGGCACAAATTTACCTCTTAAAGTAGGGAAGAAGTCTTAGGGAGAAAACAGGTTTCTGGCATCCACCTGTTCTAATATTTTATTCAACAAACTCTTGAATTGTACTTGCGAGACTAGGATGAAGGCTCCAGTAGTGCAAGAATGGGGCATGCCCAGTTTTTTCTCCCATTGCTGGCATTATTTAGAGCCTTGTCTCTCTCCCTCCTCCAGGATTTCTTTAGGTTGGTGAACAAGAACATCTGTACAAATATTTGTGGCTCGCATGCTCCAGGCGATCCTTTGCTGGGTGTTCTTCAGTTGTTGGGTGGGAATGAGCCAGCCCCCGTGTGCTTGTAAGTCTAACCGCTTCCTCTCCTCCTCTTCCACTGCCTCCTTCCAGGTGGGATTCATTGACTATATTGTGCACCCGTTGTGGGAGACGTGGGCAGACCTTGTCCACCCTGATGCACAAGACATTTTGGACACCCTTGAGGACAACAGGGACTGGTACCACAGCATGATCCCCCAAAGTCCCTCCCCACCTCCGGACGATGCTGAGAAGGATGAAGAGGCCTGTCTGGAAAAATTCCAGTTTGAATTGACCCTGGAGGAGGAAGGGGAGGACTCAGAACCATCCGAGAAGGACCGCAGCAGTCCTGGAGATGAGGATAACAGCTACTACACAGCCACAGAAGACCAACACCAGTCCCAGGACGGGCAAGACAGACAAACGGACAGTACAGCAGTTGGCACATCTCTTGGCACATCATGACTGTGGGAAGGGACAACTGAAGAAAGCAAACGCACCTACAGACACACACACGGAAGTTTTCATGAGGGAGGGGTGGGGATAAAAAATGGAAAAAACTCATTTTTTATTTTTATCGTATTTTTTATAAAATGAAAATTAAGAAAAAAGTGGGGGGATGGGGAATACACACAACAACTGTAGAACCAGGTTGGCCCCAGCAGAGGGTAGTAGCCTGCTGCTGTAGTGACTGGCCCAAGCACTCCGGAAATAATCTTTCATTTCCATTTTTTTCCCCCCTTCCCTTCATTATTTCTGACTGGTTGTTTTTTAAATTATTTTATTTTGCTAACTTTTTTTAGACTTCTGCAACCAGAAAAGGGAAGAGGGCACTGATGGTGTGAGGCATGTATGTAGCAGCAGCAGCAGAGGCAAAGCCAGTAGAATTATTTTTAAGCAGTAATTTTGCCCATTTGTAGTAAAAAATAGATGCAATGCAGGAGCTTGACAACAAAAACTGGTAACCTTTTGACATAGATACACACACACAGAGTTCCTATAGTTCAGTGTTTTTCAGCCTCAGCAACTCTAAGATGTGTAGACGTCAATGCTCAGAATTCCCTAGCCACCCATCTTGGCTAGGGGAATTCTGGGAATTGAAGCCCACACATCTTAAAGTTGCTGAGGTTAAGAAATACTGCTGGGTTCCTTTGTTCCAGATATGCCCCCCTCCCCCATTTAGCTCATGTGTTTGTGCCTTTATTTCATTGGAGGGAAACCTCTGAAACTCTTCAGATGGTGTCAGAATCTAACTCTCATCTTCTGCTGGTTAGGGCTGCTGGAAGTTAGAGTCCAACGCCATCGGGAGGTCCAGAAATTCTTCTCAGTGCTGCTTTCTTTCTTTGCCCATCAGAGCACAGCCCTCCTAGCTGGATGTTCAAACATTGGAGAAGGGTGAGAGGACAAGTATTGTTTTTATTTTTGTAAGTTATTTTTTAAGCTAGTGGTTATTTATTTTTGTGAGTTTATATAGATTTGATTTTTATTACGGACTGATAAGAAAGAGTTTGCCTTTGAGGATTTTGTTGCTGTTGTTGTTCAGGTTTTTCTTCCCTTCTTGGAGCACTTATTTCTATTTTCTTTTTAAAATATGGTTTGCAGGTGTGGATCTTTATTTTATTTTATTTTGCCTATGATGCCATAGATTTCTCCCAGAGCAAATGGGAGAAGATACTACTTTTACAGAAAATGAAACTAAAAAGGGAACAAGAATCAAAAACATTCTATCCAAGTTTTCAAATAGCTGAGTCTTCCTCCGTTCCTCATTTTGCACAAAAATAAAAAGGCAATACGGCCAGGATTGAATGTTTATACTGGCCAACTTGCTTAGATGGCTCTCAGTCGGGGACCTCAGGTGTGAGTATTTCCTCCTCCAGGTTGGGGATGGGATCGGCAGATATGAGGACTGGAGAGAGAGGGTGGGTTTGCAAGTTGAGTGGTGTTTATTTTAGCACTGATTTGCAATTTCTTTATCTGTGTCTGGATGCTGCTTGACAAATCTGTGAACTGCAGTGCCTCAAAACTGCTGCTCACAGGTTTCTCAGCTACAAAAGGCATGTGTATTCAAATAGACAAACCATTTGCAAGGACCTCCAGGCATATCCCCCTCCCCCAGAGGAATACAAAACAAACAGCCTGTCCTAATGATCTTTCTTTCTGTGTGATGTGGTGTATTAATGTGGCTGGAACACATACATACATTGACTTATGGAGTTGAAACTGGGGGAGGGGGAGAGATGGATTTGGTTTTATTTTGTTTTGAATTTCAAAAGAAAGAGGCTCTAACATCCTTGGTTCCAGAGGTAGGGATCTGTCTCAGACACCCTCAGCTACCTAGAAATGAATGGAGTGGGATGGAGCACATCTTTTTCATCAGCTCAGAAAGCCACATCACTCAGCTATAAAGTAGGGAACAAATTGCTTGGATCAGATTTGAGACCCCATTCTAGGAGGTCAGGGTAATCAAGTGAAAAAGTCATCTGCCTTGGAATTAGATTTGGAGACAACTTTGCCATTTGAACCATAGTGGTTAGCCAAAGGGAATCTGACAGATTTCTTTGCTGCTGTAGGGGCTATGAAAATAATCCCTGAGCCTTGCTCCACACATCACCATGCCAAATGCCACATCCCTCTGCTCCATCCCTGAGGTGTCTGCAGTGGTGGTTCTTCCCAGAAAAAGAGCCTGCATTAGCGTGGCAGAAAATAAAGCTAGACCCCTACTTGAACCTGCTCTCTGTAATTTCCCAGGAGAATTCTGTTTGGCTGGTTATTTTCTTTGCCTTAACTAGCAAAGTAGTCTGATTTGCTAAATGCAACATCCTTGCCTCTTAGCACTGAAGGGAGGACATTTTCCCATCCCCAAAATGCTTGCACCACACCAAATGGATATTTGCTGTTGGACCACTAGTCCTTCATTGGACAAGGAAGACTGAGGGATCCAGTCTTAAAAGCTGCAGGATCATGATCCCCTTGGCAATGTGTCTCTGCCTCTGTGGACTAGTCTTGGGCTGGTTGGATTGAAGTGTGGGCATATTCCCCACCCCTTGCTAAGCAGCCATCCTTCCTGCTGTTTGTTAGGAGGAAGCCAGCTGTAGTTTTGAGTTTGTTGGCTTCTTGATGGCAGAGCCATTGAGTGTGTAGCCCAGCCCACTTCTCTTCCAGACTCCTGGGGGAGAGGACAGCACTGGGCCCCTTTTTGTCCCCTCTTATATGGCTACCCAGCACCAGTGCATGCCTCCTGTAATCCCTCCCTACCTTGCAAGAGGTGAAGCAATAACAACTAAGCCCTTTTCCTGCCCCCATTGCTACAATTGAGCTATTGAACCAAAGCCAAGTCTCCTCTTTTGCAAAGGTCCCATTCCACACACGGACACCATCCACTTTGCATTGGCTCCTCCTTGGCCAGCTCTCTTAGCATGCAAGCTTAGTAATGTAATGCCTCAGGCCTTTGCCAGCCCAAGCTTGGTAGGGAAAGGTGTGGGCGCTGGCCAGAAAGTTATGCTCTGGGATGCTTCTTGGGTAGATGGTATTTGACTTGAGCATCCCCAAGGTGCTGGTCTGAGGCCATGATAGCTTTAGTTGGCCACATCATACCCTTGGAGAAAGCCAGTGGCACAGAGAGCCTTGGTGAGGTTGCTGTCCCTTGGGGGCCCGCCTGCGAAGAGCTGCCATTCCTGCATTGCCAGTCTCTGCAAGAAGGCCAGTGTAGGGCATCTCCTTTCCAACCCAAGGGAGAAAACATGGCCATTTCTGAACACAGTACTGTAGCCATTTTCTTTGTATTTTCACTTTTCTTTCTTGAAGCCTCAATTGCAAGGGAAAAATAAGAAAGAGAATCTCTTTCTAATTTTCTGTATAGCTTTTATTTTTGTATGCAGTTCTGTTCCACAAGTTTGTTGGGTCGGGTTTGGACTGTACATAATTGTGAATAAGCAGATTGTAAATTATTCTAAAAAGTAAAAAGAATCTTGCAAACAAGGTCCCCTTTCCCCTCCTGGCCCTTCCTCTCCCCACCCTCCACTCCTATCAGGGGTCACACTGTGCTTGAGAGCATCCAGGGAGAACAATGAGATCTCTGGGAGACTCTCCAGCTGCATTCTCTCAAGGGCTCTAGGGCACAGACCCCACTGCACCTCCCTCCACCACCACCCCCTTTCTCCTGTCTGTGTATTTATGGTGTAATATAGACACACTGGACATTGTAGACTTGTCATTTTTCCTTGCGGTGTCGTTAATCAGCTGTTGCAATGTTCTCTCTCAGATGTTACCAAACCGTTCAACAGCCAAGCTCACAAATAAATCAGGAGGAAGGGATTCTCTGTGCCTCCAAAGATGACCTGGCTTCTCTGCAAGGCTGGGTGAATTGGGGAGGGGAGGGGAGGGGAGAGGTGGGAAAGGAAGAAAGATGCAGCTGGAGCCTTCTCTAATCTGGCAACTTCTCAAGGTGTTTGACTACAGTTCCCATCATTTCTACTCAAGATAACCCCATGGATGACAAGGCTTGTAGTCAGATGCATAGGGAGAACACCAGGTTGAAAAAGGCTACACTAGTATTTTTCAGCTCCCCAAGACATTAATAGGACAAAGAGAAATAATATTTTAGTTTAACCCAAAGGAATGCCAAGCTCCTCCAGTGGATTCTTCAAAGACTTCAGCCTTAATGCAAGAAGGCAAATAGGGACCAAACTCATGAGTGGAATGCAAGAATGGAAGATACAATTTATTCAAAAGGATTAGGCTAGGTAAAAGGAGAGAAAAAATTGCCCTACATGTGAAGGATGTGCCTGCATATATTGAGATTCAGGATGAGGATCCAGCTGAGAGCCTTTAGGTAAGAATAAAATGAAGGTGAAACAACAAAGTTATTACTGGGGAGTGTGCTATAGGTAGATCTGGATTATGTCTTCCTGGATTAGATTATGGAAACTTTTGGGAGGAGAGAGAGGGTTATGGGAGACTTAAGTGTTCAGAAATAATGTCCCCCAAATCCCTCAGTTTTCTTGTTTCATTTTCCAGGAGCCTGAAGAAGGCAAGGAGATTGGCTCTCCTAGATCTGATCCTGACCAGTAGGGAATTATGAGATGTATAAATGCACGCTGTTCAGTGAGGAAAAAAGGGGGTGGGTGGAGAGAACAGCTTAGGAAATTGTGGATGCACAGGGAGCTTTCAATTGAACTAAGAATGAAAAGGGATATGTATAGGAAAAGAAAGATGGTTGTAATAACCAAGGAGGTATAAGTTAAAAGGGCTACAGCACAGAAGGAACTTAGCCTTGCAAGGACTCTGAAAGCAACATAAAGGACTTTTTTGACAAAGGAACCATTCACATAGCTGCCTTGCTCTGGTGCAAAGACACTCTGCCAGCAGTTGTGTCTCAGCTGCACAAATCCAGATGAGCCCTAGATGGCAACCAACAGATTAAAAAAAAAAAAACAACCTCAAACTCTTTGCTGCCGCCTAATGGTCAATAAATCAACTACTGAGGTTAATAATACAGTACATACTGTATTGCGAAAAAATTACTATCTATCTATCTATCTATCTATCTATCTATCTATCTATCT